AGCGTTAAATTATATTACATAATTTGTAAACAAGGAAAGACGTTTGTTTTTCATTTTATTTGCCTCTTTTGTTTTGATTTGTTAAGGCCTTTTTCTTTGTTGATCACTAACAAATCATCAGAAGCCAGACCAGTCATCAGAAATGTGAGTAAAACGAAATAAATAAAAAGACAACGCGTTATAAATGTCTTGTAAAGTGGCTTCTTCCACCTCCGCCTGTTAGTGAGCGATCAGGTGTATATCAGTATGTAGTGTCTCTACTTTAAAGAGTCCTCTCCTGCTGATGTTCAGGTGTATATCAGTATGTAGTGTCTCTACTTTAAAGAGTCCTCTCCTGCTGATGTTCAGGTGTATATCAGTATGTAGTGTCTCTACTTTAAAGAGTCCTCTCCTGCTGATGTTCAGGTGTATATCAGTATGTAGTGTCTCTACTTTAAAGAGTCCTCTCCTGCTGATGTCCAGGTGTATATCAGTATGTAATGTCTCTACTTTAAAGAGTCCTCTCCTGCTGATGTCCAGGTGTATATCAGTATGTAGTGTCTCTACTTTAAAGAGTCCTCTCCTGCTGATGTTCAGGTGTATATCAGTATGTAGTGTCTCTACTTTAAAGAGTCCTCTCCTGCTGATGTTCAGGTGTATATCAGTATGTAGTGTCTCTACTTTAAAGAGTCCTCTCCTGCTGATGTTCAGGTGTATATCAGTATGTAGTGTCTCTACAAAAGTGAGTGAATAAACTTAAGTTTCTTTCAACTATTGGGTCATCCTCAGTAAAAAATATGTGTTCTTTTCAATCAAAGATTAATCAATACGACATTATAGCTTCATTTTATTATCAAACAGGATCAGTTTATTGAATAATGACATTTTTGTGAGTCCAACAAACCTCATTGGCAGAATATTTTTGGAATAAACGTCACTCTGTGCTTACATTCTTCCACATGTTGATGAAGGACGGAGGACAGTGACTCCCCTCAGAGCCCCGAAACAAAAACAGAGAAGAGACTTTGACTTGTGTCGCATGAAAGTGAGTTTTTGGCATCATGTATTAACTAAAGGGTCAATAACAAAGCACCAATGACTACAACAGCACCTCCTTCCTCCCCTGATGTGTGGGGTCATGTGCATGAGGATGTGTTTGACTTATTAGAGACCACATTGGAAAAATAACACATAAAAAAAGTACCCATTTTCAGGGTCATTGTCCCAACACTTGGCACTACAGTGTTATTATTTTTGAAGCTTTAATAGGGTGGATTTAGTTGAGTCAGCCAGTCTGCGCTCCTATTAAAAACCGATAATGGTGGCCTGTCAGCGGGTTACTGAGCGACAAAGAGCCGCTGGCCATGGCCTACATATTTCTGTTTGTTTAATAATGATAAGAGCGCTCATTAAAGTAGGCCACCTCACCACAGGGAGACAAAGGCAGGTCATTCATTGGTGAAGTAGGGAGAAACCTTTTTTAGGGTGTAAAGGTGACAGTTCATGACCTAAACTCACTTCAACAGTGCAGAATCGTAACAGCTTCAAAAAGATCCAGTCTCAATAGAGTTGTGCAGGAAAGAGTAGTAAAACTCGGAAAAAAAGATCAAGAATTTGACAACTTCCAGTTCCCTCGTCTGGGTGTATTTTTTAAATGTGTTTTTGGTTTTTATCCTGAAAAAAGGTCTGTGCTTACACAAGCTGAAGAGATTCTAACAGAGGTTGCTAACAAAGTTTCTGAATGAGACGACTAAACATTACACCTAACATTAGCCGCCTTTAGCTTAGCGGTGGTGACGTGAAGTCATGTGACCGTGCTGTAGTTCCTTTATAGCCTAACATTAGCTGCCTTTAGCTTAGCGTTTAAAGTCTCTACAGCTAGGTTATGTTAACAGGAAGTGATGAAATGATTTTCTGGAGTCTTTTCTGGGTTTTAGGACTCATTTCTGGAGGTCTGTACCCAACCCACTCTCTTCAGTCTGCATACAAATAACACGCTTTACACTTTGGAAATGCGTCCAATGGATGTGAGTGTTAATGTCTCTTAAAGCTCCTATTGTAGGGGGGTCAAACTCAATTTCATCGCGGGCCACATCAGCATTATGGTTGCACTCAAAGGGCCGGTTGTAACTTTTAGACTATATAAATATACATACATAAATATATATAAAATAATGTATTATATTACATAATTGCCTCTGCATTGGATTATTATCAGATAGGGTAATAACTTCATAATTAACTACGTCTGAAAGCAGATTTCTAGGGCAAATAATTGTAAGTCTCTTCAGTGTGCATGTCACAAAATGAGAAGCATTAAGTCATGTCTCTGATATAAACCGTGAGGCTTCACCCAGGCAGGTGTAAGCCTTCACTAATCATGGCTCATCAGCTGAAGTGAGAACAGGTGTCGTCCAATCAGCTGCAGAGACAAAGACCATCAGGAGAAAGGGAGGCACAGAATGATCGCATGCATCACCAACTGCTCCAGCTCACGGTAAAACCCAAAAGAAATACACAACATCAAACAGACACTGATGAACATTTATATTTGTTAAATAATAATACAAAAACACACATCATCAACACATGACCGCTCTCTACTTCTAAATGCTGTCTGCACATTTCAAACATCCAACGAAGTGAACATAATTACATCTCGACAAACCAGTCTGAACTATTTTCAAACTGATTCTTCACTACCTTCCCACTGTATAACCTGACACAGTTTGGTCCCATTAACACATTGCAAAACACGTTCACCTTATCACACTTCAGAGTCATTTAAGAAAAGAAAACAAGTTAATCATTTAGTTTTTGGGAGAATGGGTGGGATTAAATAAGTGTAGACTTCTTCCAACCCCTTTTCGGATGTGTAATTAGGTAGATCAATTGTTTATATATAATTTGTAAGTCAATAACATTTTTGTTTATCAATTTGATAACTGCTTAAGTTTGTGCAGTATCATAATTCTCTCGTTTCATTTCATATATTTTGTTTTACACGTTCGAAATAAATCAAATCAATGAAAAATGTCCCATGTTTCCCATGCCATAAAATGTCTTTTTCTGACTCTTGGTCCAGTCAAAGTTGTTTTTTACAGACGGGATTTGAACGTGGCATCAGACGAGCTGCTTGCTGTTTTTATCTGGACTCGCCCTTGGGTTTCAGAAAGAACCCATTGTTGAATAAGCAGCTGGTCAATGAGTGACCCAGATCAGACTGAGAAGCTTCTGCGTTGCTCGGTAATGTCCGTGTTTTGCCAGTTTTGTCTGGAAAGCTTGCCAGTCGTCATGGCAACCCTATAGGACGCTGCAGAGTGTTTACAACTGCTGTGAGTGTGACAGAGACGTCAGGACAAGTTAAAGAAAGCTTCACTAGAGGCAGAAAGTTGCATTTACTCAGGTCATGCACTTTATCCACTCTTTGCATGTTCTGTCTGTTTCGGTGCAAATTGCATCTTGTTGTACTACGTGTAATAACAATAAAGTGGAATCTAATCAATGACTTTTAAATTACACAAATAGGAGCCGATCCTAAAAGATACATTTGTTGATTTTAAGTCCAATGATGTGTAAGCAGCACGGTCACATGACTTCACGTCACCACCGCTAAGCTAAAGGTGGCTAACGTTGTGCTATAAAGTAACTACAGCACGGTCACATGACTTCATGACCGCTATGCTAAAGGTGGCTAACGTTGTGCTATAAAGTAACTAGAGCACGGTCACATGACTTCACGTCACCACCGCTAAGCTAAAGGTGGCTAATCTTGTGCTATAAAGTAACTACAGCACGGTCACATGACTTCATGACCGCTAAGCTAAAGGTGGCTAATGTTGTGCTATAAAGGAACTACAGCACGGTCACATGACGTCATGACCGCTAAGCTAAAGTTGGCTAACGTTGTGCTATAAAGTAACTACAGCACGGTCACATGACTTCATGACCGCTATGCTAAAGGTGGCTAACGTTGTGCTATAAAGTAACTACAGCACGGTCACATGACGTCATGACCGCTAAGCTAAAGTTGGCTAACGTTGTGCTATAAAGTAACTACAGCACGGTCACATGACTTCATGACCGCTATGCTAAAGGTGGCTAACGTTGTGCTATAAAGTAACTACAGCACGGTCACATGACTTCACGTCACCACCGCTAAGCTAAAGGTGGCTAACGTTGTGCTATAAAGTAACTACAGCACGGTCACATGACTTCACCTCACCACCGCTAAGCTAAAGTTGGCTAACGTTGTGCTATAAAGTAACTACAGCACGGTCACATGACTTCATGACCGCTAAGCTAAAGGTGGCTAACGTTTGGCGTGATGATGTTTAATCGTCTCATCAAATCAATGGACACTTATTAGCAACTGACGTTTGGACAGGAAGTGCAACAATGCAGTAAGTCATTTCTGGGTTTTAAGACTCATCCCTGCACCACATCTGAAACAACAACATGTCAACACAGACGACAGCCATGATACAACACAAACAACAACATTACCAGAACAAACACTGAACCGTCAGTCAGCCTCTCGGGTTGAACATCACAACATTTAAAACACAATGAAAACGTTCTGCTGCGGCCTTTTGTTACTTAAACAGGCAGCAATGTCAACAAAAACAATACAACAACGTAAGGCATCTCATGATTCTCCCAGCAAAGCTTGATATCCTGACAGTGAGCTGCACACAAAGCTAAATTATATAAAACGCCGTGCCTTCATACACATATTTACAGCATCGCTAAAGCAGGAAATATTACAACTCAAATCCAGAAATATATTCATGTGTTTTAGTGACAATATTTACGTCTGTATTTGATTTCTTTACCTCACACCTTGATGCAGAGTGGACTCTATTTATTATACATATTATTGTTATTCGTTTTAAAATAAAATTGATAATAATATTACGAAAATATTATTATTATTATTATTGATCAAAAGTTAATAAAAAAAAAAATAGTAAAAATAATAATACAAATTATTATTCATAAAAAATAAAAATGTACTTTTTAAAACATAATGATATTAATAATAAAATAAAAATACTGTTATTATCAATTTAAATAATAGTAATAATAATATTTACCTGAGCAAACTAGCGACCTAGTATCATTTAAAAGGCTGTTGACTCACACACTGTATATTTATGTGTTTCAATGGTATGGGAACAGAAATATGAAATACCTATTTTTTTAATGTAGAGTTTCTGCAAGGCTGACAAAGAAAGAGTGACATCTCTTTAATCTGAAAAATAAAAAACTACAACGTCAGTGTTGTTTTGTAATAATGTCCATGTGCAAATAAAATACATTTTCGTGTGTGTGTGTGTAGATGTTGCAACGGGAACCACCTTATCTGCTGCAACACGGACACATAAAACACACACACACACACACACACACACACTGCATTACAGCCCATAATAATAATAATGTCTGACAATAAAAAGCACGCATTGTAAAACGCCACAATCTGATCCACCAGTGTGTGTGTGTGGGTGTGTGTGTGTCTGTGTGTGTGTGTGTGTGTGTGTGTGTGTGTGTGTGTGTGTGTGTGTGTGTGTGTGTGTGTCACTCCAGGCCGAAGCCCTCAGCGTTGGAGATGGCGATGGTCAGTTTGTGTTTGAGCTCCTTCCTGTTTCTGTACGGAGGGAGGCAGATCTGATTGAAACACGTGTGAGAGATTGGCAGCCTGGGGGGGGGGGGGGGACAGGACAGTAAGAACAGTGGTTTTAAAATCAAATAATATCAACGTCAATATGTCTTCAAACATTTACCAGTCAAAGTTTACCAGTAATATATAACAACTGTTAAAAACCTCAAGTTAGTAAGTTAGCAAGTTTTCTTAGTCTGTCATTAAGTTAGTTAATGACATTTGAAGAGTCCTCCTCTCAGGGATGAAACCTACCAGTCAGTGGGAACGTCGATCTTGGAGATTTTGAAGTTGAGATCGGCCATTCCTCCGACGGGCACGCGGTCACTTCCTGTGGCGAAGTGGAGCATCTTCTTCTGCAGCTCCAGAGGAAACGACAGCACCACGTCCCAGAAACACCTGGGAAACACGACATGAGGTAAGGTAAGGTATGTTTGTTTATAAAGCACATTTTCAGACACAGAGGCAATTCAAAGTGCTTTACATCAACATTAACACTTAGTAAGAAGACAACAGAAAGACAATAAATAATCACAATGGAACAGATTCATATAAACCATGCATACAAGAGATATTTTAAAAACAACATTGTAAATACGGTAGGTGCTAAAACAAGTTAAAAGACTTCTAGGTGGGCAGCTGAAAAAGTCATGTTTTTTAGCCTACATTTAAAATAACTCAGCGTTGGTGAAGACCTCAGGTTTTCGGAGGAAGTTTGTTCTATTTTGAGAGATGAGTTCTGTAGGGATTTTCTGTATTTTTGTTTCTTTGTTTCTAGAATAATGACTGGTCTGAGACACACACACAGACAGACAGACACATAGACAGACAGACAGACAGACAGACAGACAGACAGACAGACAGACCCACAGACAGACAGACACATAGACAGACAGACAGACAGACAGACAGACAGACAGACAGACAGACAGACAGACAGACAGGACAGACAGACAACAGACAGGACATACGACAGACAGACAGACAGACAGACAGACAGACGAACAGACAGAACAGACAGACAGACAGACAGACAGACAGACAGACAGACAGACAGACAGACAGACAGACAGACAGACAGACAGACAGACAGACAGACAGACAGACAGACAGACAGACAGACAGACAGACAGACAGACAGACAGACAGACAGTGTTGTGTAACAGCTACACTATTATGATCTGTCTGAGGATACTAAGTGCTGGCTCTCCTCCCTGCTGCTGTGTGTGTGAGAGAGAGAGTGAGTGAGTGAGAGTTATTACAAAATGAATGCCTGCGAGCAAACGTGCATGTTAAACTCAGAGCAGACATCAGTCACTAACGAGAAACACACCTTCATTTAGTTGGAATGCTGTTAACAGCAATATTCTTATTATTCCGCCCGTTATTTTGCCGGTCTTCTTCTCCCGCATTGAACATCGCAGAAACTCCGTTCGAACATCAAAACGTTCAGCTCGGTCGGGAATCGATGGCTATTACTTTTCTCATTCATAACTTTCATAATTCCAGAGATACATCCCATAATTCATCACATTTTTAACCATTGAAGTCAATGGAGAAAATCTTCACACTTCAACAAATCTTGATGCGACTGTCAACTGCTAACTGTTCATGCATACTTTCACTCAGAAACCTCATTCCAACTTTAAAATGTTACACATCTTTCTGACATTATTCGTGTAACACAACTTTTAAATCTGATTCTTACTTTTAGAGATATTAAACATGTTCAGACCTTGGTAAAGAGGCTTTCTTCAGATTTGAACATTAACTAGAGGTGCGTGATGTCACAGCTAGAGTGGAGGGAAATCTTGAAATTTGACTTCATATATTTTTTTAACTGCCATAATTCCAAACCCTACATTCCTGAGACATAATCCTTCATGATAAACGTAGGAAACATCTCGTAGCTTGAAAAATGACAAATGATTAAGCAAAAAATAATTAAACAAAATGCATCTTGGAGGGCATGAAGTGACAAAACGTTCAACATGTCCCATTAAACCCATTGTAATTTCAGGCAGATATTTCCTCACAGTAGCAGCCGCACACCTTTAGTTAATCTGCCAAAAAGGCCACATTATTGACCCGAAAGTACACAAAAAAGCACACTTCAGATACTCAAGGTCCTTGAGATGCTTCACGCTTTGAAATTTCACACCGATATCTGTTACGGTTCTTCAACAAAACGTTCACATGTAAGAGGTTTATCTCTCATTCAGAACAATGGAAACCTTTGATCTCTGGACACCTCGTTAGCTCAAATATAAACACCTGTGTCATGGAACACGATGATGTCATCACTCCAACTGACATGCTCAGAGCAGCAGACTTCAGATAATGGTTAATAATGGTCCTGCCCTCAACAGCTCTACGTAAATTATGGGGTGTCATCATATGCCGTTTCCATGGAAACGCATCCATGGAAGATCAAGAAGGCGATCAAGAGAAGAGAGAGAGGGCGATAGAAGAGTGAGAGGGTGATCAAGAGAAGAGAGAGAGGGCGATCAAGAGAAGAGAGAGAGGGTGATAGAAGAGTGAGAGGGTGATCAAGAGAAGAGAGAGAGGGCGATCAAGAGAAGAGAGAGAGGGCGATAGAAGAGTGAGAGGGTGATCAAGAGAAGAGAGAGAGGGCGATAGAAGAGTGAGAGGGTGATCAAGAGAAGAGAGAGAGGGCGATCAAGAGAAGAGAGAGAGGGCGAGCAAGAGAAGAGAGAGAGAAGAGAGAGAAGAGAAGAGAGAGAGTCAAACTAAAGTGGAGACATGGCAGAAACCCTACAGTGAAGTGTTTCTCCTGTGAGAGGGCGATCAAGAGAAGAGAGAGGAGGGCGATCAAGAAAGAGAGAGAGGGGCGATCAAGAGAAGAGAGAAGAGGGCGATCAAGAGAAGAGAGAGAGGGCGATAGAAGAGTGAGAGGGCGATCAAGAGAAGAGAGAGTAGGGCGATCAAGAGAAGAGAGAGGGCGATCAAGAGAAGAGAGAGGAGGGCGAGTAAGAGAAGAGAGAGAGAAGAGAGAGAGGGCGATCAAGAGAAGAGAGAGGGAGATCAAGAGAAGAGAGAGAGTAATGTAACCTTCTAGTGTAATGTATAACTCCTATGAAAATGTTCAGAAAGTGCTCAAACTTCACATGTGTGCTAACAGTCCAGCCGTGAAGACATCTACGGGACAGTTTTGAGATTTCTTCAAATGCCGTTGGCATGGCAACACAATGCTCACCATGAAACACGGTTTTCTCATAACTTCAGTGAAAATGCTCCAAACGGACCAAAACTTCATAGGTTTGTTAACGATGCAGCCATCAACACATCTAAGCGTATTATGGGATGTCATCAAATGCCGTTGGCATGGCGACAGATCATTCGCCATCAAGTTAGTTCAAAAGTTTGCAGTTCAAATATTCTGCTGCTTTTCCAAGCCTTTTTACTTTCTTTTCTTCACTCATCACACAGTCAAGCCCCCAGTGTTCATGTATCATTTCAATCTAAATTCTTCACTTTCTTCTTACACATTACATTTCAGCATAGCAGTTTTAGCGTCAGCTTTTCAGCATAAAGCATTCCCACTAGCAATTCTTCAGGAATTGCATTCTCTAGTTTTATTTAATATTCCAAACAAACCAATGCAAGAACTGAAATACTGATCTGAATACTTTATTAAACAAATGGGTTGTTACTGTTACATTATCAGATAATATAGACAACTAACTTATTTATTTACTTACTACATTACTTACTTACCTACTAAATAACTAACCTACCTACCTATTTACTTACTAACTAATTAACCAACCAACCAACTAACTAACTAACTTAATAATTAACCAACTAACTAACTAACTAGTAATACTTTAATACTTTAGTAATACTGGTTATTAAAGGGAACATGAGGTTGGTTTTAGTTATAATGTTATTATAGGAAACATGCTGTGGTTTGTGCATTACGAGTGTACTTCCTGTTCAGTGACAGTAAACAGGAAGTGGGCTTCTCACCGTACGGTGGAGTCAGTCTTGCTGTATCCTTCGTACTGAGCAGCTTTCTGCAGAGCAATCATCTCCAGATCTGGACTGCCACACACCAACATCTCCACCTCCTCTGGGCGCAAGAGCTGAGGAGAGAGCAGGAAGATATTAACACACACTACTGACACACACGATATAATGTAAAGAACACACACTACTGACACACACGATATAATGTGAAGAACACACACTACTGACACACACCAACATCTCCACCTCCTCTGGAGTAGTACTGACACACCTGATAGGCTTCATGTGAAGTACATTCAATAATTTAGTCATCACACTCAATATACCTCAAATGCCACAACGCACTCAGAGTCTGTTTTTAAATCAACTGCAAAATGTTTTAGTAAGTAAGTAAGTAAACAAGTAAGAAAGTAAACAAGTAAGAAAGTAAACAAGTAAGTCAGTAAATAATTAAATCAGTAAACAAGTAAGAAAGTAGGTAAATAAGTACTGTAATGAAGTAAGTAATGAAGTAGTACTGTAAATAAGTAAGTGCTCAAATAAGTAAGTATGTAAGTAAGGACACAAGTAAATAAGTCAGGACACAAGTAAGATAGTAAGTTATTAAGTAAGTAATGTAAGTACACAAGTAAATAAGTAAGTAAGTAAACAAGTAAGTCAGTACTGTTAATAAGTAAGTAAGTAATTAGTACTACAAATAGGTAAGTACTCAAATAACTAAGTAAGTAAACAAGTAGGCAAGTAATGGCGCATTTCCACCATGGCGCGGAGCGCGGTTTAAGCGTGCCGTGTCGTGCCGTGCCCGTTTTTGGTTGCGCTTCCACTAGGGCCTAGTTACGACCCGGCCCGGCCCGGGGCCACTTTTTCACCTTTTTTTCTGGCCCGACAAAATTGTGGTTTCTATCGGGGCCAACAAACAGGGCTGAGTCGGGCTGAGTATGCTAAACTAGAGAGAGGATCGCTGGCAAGGGGGCTACAACTACAACAAGATGGACATATTTGACCGTGATTTAATTGTAATACACGTTTCAAAATGATGCCGAAGTAACAACATACTGATACCGGTTAGTAAAAACCATGAACTAATGCTTTGACAAGTCTGCAGACAGACGGCAGGAGAAACACCTTTTAAAATGCGTGTTCTCTAGATGGAGATTGGCTAAGCTAACGCAGTATATGCTCCGAACCGTCCACACTCACAACAACGGCCTATACAGACATAAATAAAGCAGCGCCTGTATTCACCATGACACAGGCAGTCTGTGGTTTGTACTTGTTTAACTTCTGTCTAGTTTCTGAACAGATATGAGGAGCTGTGAGCTCTGAGTGCTAACAGCTAACGGCTGTGTTGTTTGTCTGGGGTTCTCATTGAAGATGACGTCACGGCTCCGCCTACACTGCGTTACTATAGTAACTACCCCAGTTCCTAAACTGTAATGGAAGCGCAGCATGAAGTGAGCCGGCCCTGTTAAGGCCCAACGCGGCCAAGCAGTACCGAGCGTGGCCGAGGCCGACCGTGTGGTGGAAATGCGCCATAAGTATGTAATTAAGTAAGTACACAAGTAAAGAAGTAAGTAACTAAGTCAGGACACAACTAAGATAGTAAGGTATTAAGTAAGTATGTACTGTGAGTAAGTACACAAGTAAAAAAGTAAGTAAGTAGATACGTAAACAAGTAGGTATGTATTGTAAACAAGTAGGTATGTACTGTAAATAAGTAGGTATATAAACAAGTAGGTATGTATTGTAAACAAGTAGGTATGTACTGTAAATAAGTAGGTATATAAACAAGTAGGTAAGACAGTATCGAACTCTAAGTACAAAAGTAAATAAGTAAGTAACTAAGTCAGGACACGAGTAAGATAGTAAGTTATTAAATAAGTAAGTACTGTGAGTAAGTAGTAAATAATTAAGTAAACAGGTTAGTAAGTGCTGCAAATAAGTAAATAACCAGATACAGAGAGAACGCAACGTCTGCCTTTAGTAACTTCCACCAAAACACCACAAACGCAACATCCCATAAACACACATGGTGTAAGAGACACGCAGCCAGTAAGTGAGGCAACAGGAAGCTGAGCATCGTCACTGCAGCTGAGAGCAGAACGAGTCAGGGAGGAAGACGTGAAGTGAGTTCTAATTTAGTGACAGCTTCTTATTTACAACTAAGAGAAGTGACATTACAGATGATAAGAACCAGACAACAAACAACAACATGAAAACACAGGAGGAATGTGAGTCACACCAACAGAGATCATCATAAAAGCAGATTAAAAAACATGTAATGTTCGGGTCCGACACACACGTACACACACACACACACACACACACACACACACACACACACACACACACGTACACACACCGCCTAAAACTGGTAAACACACCCCCTATTATTAAACCACAGCCTGCCTGATCATGTCCTGAAACGTCACACAATGTGGACGTGACTGAAGGCACACACACACACACACACACACACACACACACACACACACACACACACACACACACACACACACACACACACACACACACACACACACACACACACACACACACACACACACACACACACACACACACACACACACACACACACACACACACACACACACACACACACACCAACAATCTCCTGTATGGATCGCTCTGAACTCGACTGTTAATGTGACCTGAGACAATATGGGCCAGGAGCCAAAGGTCAGAGGTCACAGTGTACAATAACAGTGCTATTGTTCTCATAACTCTCTTAACCTTTGCAGACCATTTGCATGCACTATACAACACACTATAAGAGAAAGACCACTATAGAAAGCAGAATAGGGTCTCTTTAACACCGTTTTTCATTCAGAATCTTTTGGCATTCAGTAATAAATGCTCTGACTTAATCAAAATGTTTTAGATTAGATGCAATGACGTCTGTTAAAGTCATCATTAAATTGATAAATTAACCAGATTTACTGTCTTTCTCTACTCTTAATCTACTAACGCAACAATACTCTCACTCAATCTGTGAGTGATAGGAGCGAGGACTCATGTCTGTAAACATCTCTGTGCATTTTGATTAAATAGTATTGCAATATGTTGTCTTTTGATTCTGTAGCATTACTCAGAAGCACTTTGAAATAAACGTCAGGGTATGCACTTTACCCTTTTTTCACTTGGAGTCCCTGCAAGGACTTTTATTTCAAATGATTTACTCATAATGGCAAAAGTTAATTACATTTGTATCCAAATTGCTAATCTAGCAGTGCTTTAATGTTCAATGTTAACAGAATACATAATGCAAAGAAAAACGTTTTGTGACTCAGATTTAGTGCACATGCTGCTGTTGACCTACTTACTGCCTCTGCACACAATGTGGACATCGTACTTCTTCATAACGTTGCACCTTGACCTTTAAACCTCGTGCTCATGTATCCTCCTGTGCAAAGGATTGTGGGTGAGAATAGAGGGAACAGCTTGCATTCTGCTCAATGCACCCGGAAGCAGCCGGACATCCTGGTATTTTTGGCAAACTGTGTTTTGGGACTTACTTAATCTTTCTCTGCTGACGCACTCCATGACCTTACATGACTGGTGCAGCTTCTTGTGAACATTTACAAACAGCTACTGATATATTCAAGATTCAAGGTTTTATTATCATGTGCACATTAGCTACAGTGTAGATATGACAAACTGAAGTCACCGGCTCCTCCAACAGAGCAACATGAATATAGATATCTATCATAAGCTACAATCAGAGTGATATTATACAGAGACGTCCAACAGAGACAAGTTCTCCTTTCTGGTTGATAAGTGCAGCCATCACAATCTAAAACTGAACGTGTGTAAAACTATATCAACTAAGGACATTGTGGTATACCATCCCATTGGACTTCTTTGCCCTCCCCTCAAATAAAATGTGTTTTACGATTATTATTTCTTTGAATTGTGCACTTTTATGCTACAATCTATATGGTGTTTACGGAGGCCCTTATTGGACAAAAAGTTAAAATTGTGCACACGTGAAACTTTTTGTGAGCATGCAACCTTTTCTCGTGCGCACAAGAACGTATCCAAACCTACTATGTAAACCTACGGAAGAGGATTAGGGCCAGATGTCAAAAAGAATTAGGAGATCTGCCCAAAAGTTACGTTTTTTTGAGTACCGAGAAAAAAGTCAGAATTTTGAGGAAAAAAACCATCAGAACATTTTTTTATTCAGATTTCTTTCTCAGAACTCAAACATTTGAATCACTTTTGGAGAGATTTCAAAAAGAAATTCCCATGTGGCTTTAATCCTCTTCCGTATATAAGCCTTTTTAAATTCTAACATCAGGTAAAAGAATACCCATTAGGAAAAAACAACACCTTCTGTCTGTGTTAGTTTTACATTAATAACCGCCTCGCTGCACATTATCCCATCTATTATGTAAAACGATTTCTACTGTTCCATTATTTTTCAACACACACACACACACACACACACACACACACACACACACACACACACACACACACACACACACACACACACCACACACACACACAGCACACAACACACACACACACACACACACACACACACCACACACACA